AAAAAAAAAAAAAAAAAAAAAAAAAAAAAAAAAAAAAAAAAAAAAAAAAAAAAAAAAAAAAAAAAAAAAAAAAAAAAAGCATCTTCATATATTATGGGCTAATGTTAATAGATAAGATTTTCTTCTGAGGTGGGTGGAGTTGTGGAGAAAGAGGGAGGTGAAAGCTATTTACAATGATTTAAGCATTAACTGCACTGCTTCTAGGAAGCTGTTAATCATGACACCAGAACAGTTTTCCCGCATCTAGGGAGACTTGCACTTTCAGGGATGGCTTTCTTGGCAAGTGTTTACTATTAAGATAATCACAGCTCTATGAGGGAGAAGCATTAAGCTCATTCTAGTGACCTTTCTGCCGGCCATCAATTGTAATACGAAGTGAGCATCAGTAATGTCGCTTGCGTGGAAAACAAAAACACCAGGTCCTGTTCTCTGGTTTTGACAAAACAGATTGACAGATTTCGCCTTATTTCTCTCTTGAGTTATATTTCTTGACCCAGAGAACATTAAAATGTGGTTTTCCCCCCCACCACTTTATAATGAACAAACATAATTTTAAAGTCAAGTGGGATGTACTGGGCTTTCCAAGAGTTATAGTGGAGGTTACTGTTCAGTTACTAGGGCCGGTTCTTTGCTTTAAGCATATTTTCTCTTGTATTTCTAACAGTAACCTTATTGGTCAGCAAGCATTTTCTCCTTCTCATTTTTAATATGGGAAAATTGAGTGTCAGGCAAGTAAAGCAATTTACCCAAGATCATAGGCAGCTAGAAAGGCGGTGGAATTAGGAAACAAATCGTGCTCACTTAGGCAGCACGTATACTAAAACTGGAATGATACAGAGATTAGCCTGGCCCCTGTGCAAGGATGACGCGCAAACACGTGAAGTGTTCCAGAACTATTAAAAAAGTAAATTTATAAAAAAATTTTCGTAAAAAGGAAACAAATCAAGGGTTATCTGGCTTCTAAGCTTGCCGCATTCTTTTTTTTCTTTTAAATTTTAAATAGATAATATATGCACAAGACATAGAATTTAAAATGTATAGAAATATGTACTGCAAAAGGTCATTTGTTCTCCCACCCCATTCCTTTCATTCACGGAAGCAATGCTGTTATCAGTTCTCAAGCATGTAATTTTATACTTTGCTGTTCTCTTTTTAAGTGGCGCACGTAAAACACAGAATCAAATAACCCTTTAGTAGCAGCAGTTACCTACTAGTGCAGATGGCATATGAGAAACATCAGAGGAGCTTTTTCTTTTTCTTCCTTTTTTTTTTTTT